ATTTCTGTCATTTAAATTTCTGTCATTTAAATTTCTGTCATTTAAATGCTGAATACAATGCAGATGGGCATTATTTATTTTATACTTCAGCATGTTTATGGAACAATGCTGGGCACTTACGTAATGCGTAACTGTTTACACTGATTTCCACTTTTTAAACCTTTAGACAATTCCAAAAATGCATCGTTTTGATTTTAATGACATACTTACAAATTAGGGCTTTTTTAACCAATAGTTATTTAACTGCTCTTTAACTGGATCTAGTTAAAGATGGATTGTACTTCTGCAATCAGAAGTTCTTCTGCAATAGAAAGCTGTAAAACAATGGTAGTCATGATGGTGTTAAAAGTACACCACAATTACTGTAGCTGCCATCTCTTAGTACTCACTGCTGTTCATAACACAAGATATTATTAATTTGCTTTGTAAGCAACAGTTTTCTAGTTGAGCCAATCCCTAGCATTTTCTTCAACAAATGAGCAAACATTTTAACAGATAATTAAAACTAGTTTTCTTCTTAATGTAAAATTAAACACTAAACAAAAGTTGTACTTAGTTTGTTAACCCCTTCAGCTTTATTTCCTGATCACTGCAAGTTTCATGTAATTGGAGACGGCGGGGATACGGATTTGGTCTTTGTGTCCTCGATGCTACTTCAAAATAACGACTGGGAAATGCACAAGACTTATTGAGGAGTGACTCTTTTTTTTATATATTTTGTTTGGGGAAAGTAAATGTTCAGAGTCAACATTTTCTCAGAATTATGTGACTGAAATTGGGAATTCAGGAGTCTGAACAATTTGGACGATGTTGTAATCCTACTACACCTTTGTGTTAATGTTGACCTCAAATGTATTGTGCCATCGCACTACTCGTTTAAAACAGAAGTCAGCAACAAGATAACCATGGGTGTATACTCGTGAGAAGTCTACCTTGGCCTACCTTTCTATGGATATGTTTGGTGTCTCGAATTTCAACATTCTTGTGGTAGATATAATAAATTGTATTTGTAACCCATGACACAACATACTCTCACAGTTCAGAAGGAGAACTTTTCAAACTACTGAAACTGCCAGCATTTTGTTAGAGCTACCCAATTAGTCCCACTTCTTTGCTCTAATGAAATAATGGTGCAATAAAGCAATTATTCATCCAGTCATCCTTCGGACAATAGGCGAAGTAAGTGACTGGTATTTGTTCTAAGTGAGAAATTCAATTGAAGTCCAGTTGACAAATTCCACATCTCTGAACTGTTTCATCCCTTGCAATTTAAATATCACATGGTCAGCATGTTACTTTTGCTTGAATCAACTCATTTTGTCAATGCAGCAGTTATAGCCAAACGTAAGGATTTTGGTACTGAGATGAGAATTGCTGACATTCTGAACAACCTATTGAAAAAAAACAATTCTTGCTTTATTCTCTGAGAAGTAAATTGGCTTTCAGTTCTTTCATGAATTCTTTGCAAAAGTTAACATTTTCAATGTAGAGTGAATTTCTTGTTGCAAATGAAACTTTATTCAATATCCTCAAACTTGCATATTGTTTTGCTAAGCAGATCATATTCTCCTCAAAGAAATAATTTCTGTACATTCTGACTAAAATCAAACTTTGGTTTTGGAAATGGATCAATTTTTTCAATTATGCATGGTTATTTCTGGAACACAGAAACGTTATATTATGTTCTATTTTTAAACTGGTGAAGACTCAATTCAAGCTTGAATTAGACTTGGCTTTGTATACACTGAAAATGCCAATGAATAGTAAATTGATGCCTTTGTATAATGAAACAGAAATTATCTGAAAATAAGTCTTCATGGCAACCTTGTAGCCAATTATACTAATGTTAGAGTTCATAATTAAATAATTTAATGGTTTCAAGGTGTTACATCTTTAAAAGCTACAATTAGTAGTGAGTATACTGTGTTACTCAGATAAATACTAACATACTGCTTCCAGTAGTCATTACTGGAGGTTAGTGTTTCAGCCTCAGTTCCATTATAATCAAAAGAGCTACAAGAAAATAATGTACAGTGAGATTAACCATTTAACTGAACATTAAGTATAATAAACTCAGTAAAGGTTTACCAGTCCAGCTTTTCAACTTTAACTGAATGTTCAAACATTAAATATGAAAAATGTCCCCAATTCTTTCTTTACTCACATCAAATTATATAGGAATAGACTCTGAAAGTTTCACATATGTCTCTTTGTTTATTAACAAAAGCAGAACAATCAGGAAGTACCCAGCAGGTTACTTTGTTCACATTTTTTGAGAGGATAACCTTGTCTGAAAATATTATGATACAAGTTTTACCTTAAAGTTTTGCTTTGCTTTCAGGTGCTAATTACTTGCTGTGTACATCCATCATTTGGAGAGGCTGTAATAGGCTGGGACATTTTTCCCTGGACCGTAGGAAATTGAGGGGGTGACCTTATAGAAATTTATAAAATCATGAGGGGCATAGATAATGTGAATAGCAAAGTTATTTTCCCTAGAGGAGGGGAATTCAAAACTAGAGGGCATAGTTTTAAGCTGAGAGAGGAAAAATTTAAAAGGGACCTGAGGGGCACCTTTTTCACACAGAGGCAGGTGCATATGTGGAATGAACTGCCAGAGGAAGTGGTAGAAGCAGGTACAGTTACGACATTTGGACAGTTACATGAATAGGAAATGTTTAGAGGGATATGAGCCAAACATAGGCAAATGGGACTAGTTTAGTTTGGGAAACCTAGTAAGCATGGATAAGTTGGACCAAAGGGTCTGTTTCCATGCTGTATGACTCTATGACTCTCTTTCTGTTTCAGAGTTCAGCATGCAGTATGTTCTTTTAACCATTCCATAAGTAGCCCATTTTGTAGAAAAAAAAGGTATTTGATTAATGTTAATATTTGCAAAGACGTAGTCATAAACAATTGATTAGTGACAGCTGCATCTTAGAGCATTGAATTATTTTAATGATTCGTAAATTAATATCCCAATATCTTTGCACCATTGTTCAGGTTTGTCTAGCTGGTAGTTTGATAGCTCATAATTCTGGTAGTTCACAGTGAAGTTACTGTATGGAATAATATAGGGACATGTTCTTTTAGAAAGGGTAATAGACAATAGAATCCATCTGAAGCGGTCAGACATCACATGAACATCTTGTTCAGACAAGTTACAGGGTAGAATTGATGGCATTATGTGTGTCTTCCTAGCTGAAGATATATAGGAGTACAGCAGACAGGAAGAGGTGGTATTAAAGCAGGAAAAAGAGATCAGGAATTTAAAGTCCATAGAAACTTTTCTTGCTAAAAATGAAATATGAATCCAAATTGAAGCCAGAATGGATCGAGAGTAATTTTTTTTTTCCCCCCATAGATCTATGACATTTGGTATTTTGGGCATGTTACGTCTAAGGTTAGAGTCAAAATACTACAGATGCTAGAATTCTGAAACAAGCACAGCGAATTCTGGAGAAACTCAGCAGGTCTGGCAGCATCTGTGGGGGAAAAAAGCAGAGTTAACATTTCGAGTTTTGTTTGAAGAGTCATACCGGACTTGAGACATTAGTTCTATTTCTGGCCACAGATGCTGCCAGATCTGCTAAGCATACCCAGCATTCCCTGTGTTTGCTTAGACACCTAAGGTTATCCATCTTGGAGTGAAAGTGGATAGATCAGAGTTTTTAGTTAATGGATAGATTAGTGGAGATGCAAAGCCAGATAGCAATCCACGTACAAAATCACTAAAATGTTATCATTACATAAAGAAATTAGTCAAAATAGCCAATGAATGTAACCATTCCAAATACAGGATTAGAATATAAAGGGAAGAAAGTATTCTTAGTATTATACAAAGATCAGGTTAGATCTGTGTAATATCCTGGCCAATATTCATCTCTCAATCAGCATCATGCGAAAAAAAAATATGTTGGTCAGTATTACACTGCCTGTGATCAGCGGTTCCTGTGTGCATATTTTATTTTCTGTTTTTTTCACGGGATGTGGGGTGTCTCTAGTTAGGCCCAATATTTATGAACCATCCTAATTGCCCATGAGAAGTTGGTAGTGCTTCTTGAACCACTAGGTACACCTGCATTGCTGTTCAAAAGAGAGTCCCAGGATTTTGACACCGAGACAGTGAAGAACTGGCAATATAATTGAAGTTTGCATGGTGTGTGGCTTGGAGATGAACTTGCAGGTGGCGCTGCTTCCATATATCCGCTGCCCTTGTCCTTCAAGGTGGTCAATGAAGGTTTTTGGAAGGAGCCTTGGCGAGGCACCGGGAGTAAATGTTTCAAATGGTGGATGAGGTGCCAATTAAGTGGGCTGAATGGTGTCAAGCTTGTTGTGTTTTATTGGAGTTGCATTCATTCAGGCAAGTGAAGAATTTTTTGTCATGCTTCTGACTTGTGCTTTGTAGGTGGTGGTCAGGCTTTGAAGAGGTATGGTATTCACTGCAGAATTCATTGCATTTTAAACTGCTATTTTAGTCATGGTATTTATACATTGACAATCTTCAGTTTCTGGTCAGTGATAATTCCCAGGGTGTTGATAGTAGAGACTAACATACAAACAAGCAACTGTAATAGACCCTTCAGTATTTGGAGCCTACTGCACCATTCAGTAAGGTCATAGATGATCTAGTTGCAACCTCAAATCAACATTCCTGAAACTTTTGATAACCTTTTCCCATTTATTTAACCAAAGTCTATTTACCAATGCTTAAAAAGAACTCTCAGGAAGAGAGCTCCAAACAATCATGACCCTCTGAGAGGATACAAAATATCCCTGTCACTATTTTGTATGGGCAGCCCCTGATTTTTAAACAGTGGTCCCTCATCCTAGATTCTTCTATAAGAGGAACGATCCTCTTCATATCCACCTAGTTGAGACCCCTCAGAATCTTTTATGCTTCAATCAAAGTATCTAGTGGATACA